CATCAGCTTTGAACATTTACAGTTCTATGTGTGAAAAGCTGACCCTGTGAGAATCTAACTTCAGCTTTTAAGAGAGTCAGCTATTTGTGTTACACTTAAGTAATATGCTCAAACTTTCTTTTCATGGTGAGCACATGAGCTTTCTTTCTTTCTTCCTTTCTTTCTTTATTTCTTTCTTTCTTCTTTTTGTTCCTTCTTTTCATCTCCTCTTCTGTTTCTCCATCTCTGGACCATGCCACTTTCCCATGTTGCCTGTGAACAGCTGAGAGGGTTTGTGTGCATTTAAATCCCTTGTAGACGTGCAGCTCCTTTCTGTGGGTTGAATGGGGGTCCGTGCCTCACAATATAACCCCACCCACCCCCTTGGTGCTGCTCCACTTTATGTGTATCTCTCTCTCTCTACCACTTTCTCACACGCGCACACACACGCACAAAGAAGAACCCCCTCTTGCCGCCCCACCTCCCACTTTTCCCGGGAAAATCTGCCCACCCCCATTTGAACTCTAGCGTCTTTTGAACGAAGGTTTCCCAAGGGAACACTGGGGCTAATGGAGCTTCACTGATCTCTATTGTCAGTGTGTGTGTCTGTATGGCCAGGACTACTAGAACACACACCCTCACACACACTCATGCTGACTGTCATTTTCATTCACAAACACACACAAACAAGAGAGGGTGTGTGTTTGGGTCGTCTAGACCAAGGCTAGGTCAAAGTTCGTCCCCGTGGGAAATGGCTGTAAGGCAGTCAATAAAACTCTTAACAGCCAATAGCATCCTGAACACGCACTCACTGGTAGCCAATAACAGCAAGCCTTGAACAGAACAGTTCATTAAACATTAATGCTATTGGCTCATACTTGTTTACCCTGCCCACTCTTCCAGATGTTATTGCTTAAATCAGACATGTTCATTGGCCTTTGTGTCTGATTACTGACCACATTTGCATCATCTCAGCTGGAACTTGAATGATAGCATAACATGTTCAAGAAAACGTTCTTATGCATTTGTAGTGGAGGTACACAGGCATACAAATGAAGCCCAAAACTGACACAAACCAGCTTTTTTTGTGAAATTGCTGATCATACCTGGCAGAGTACAGCATCCACCCTCCTCTGATCAACTGATCTTGTAGCCGTCTATCACTCTCGGCCTAGCAATGACTAAAAAAATATTCAGCAACATTGCTGTGCTTGATACACTTGTACCAGCACCACACACACTGCACTGTCAGAAAAAAAAAAAAAAATTCAAAAAAGGACATGATAATAAAATGATTGGAGGTTGAAATGTGGTGTGTGGAGTTAACTTAAAAATATATAATTTCAGTGGGATATGGTACTATTATACTCCCTGGCTGAAGGTACTGAGATGTACCACCCCAGTAACAAGAGGGGTACCACCCCAGTGACATTTTCGTACCTTTTTTTCTGGGAGTGCACTGTGCTGCTACCATGTCAGTATCAGTGGTATGCTGAGAATGGTCCACCACCCACATAAAGCCTGGTCTGAAGTAGTCATGTGGTCAGAAACTGACCAGTGAAGATTAGGGTATAGGGTGGCTGATGAAATACAGATGCACTGCAGTCTGTAATTGTACACCTATTTAGTGGGCCTTATAATGTGGCCAGCATGTATAAACACAAACTAGGAGTTTCTAATAAAGTGGGCGCTGAGGGTACCACGGTGTATTCTTATAATTAGGTTGAAGCCTTAAATCTGAACACAACATGCAAAACATAGCAAAGGCTTTTATTTGTGTACCAGTTCACAGTGATTGTTCTATCAGTTTCCTTGCCTCTACATGTCAACTGCCTTAGATCCTTTGTCCGTTAAATAACTTTAGAACTGCTAGAGGCAAGTAGGAGTGGAGGCTTTGATGCTCCATCTTGGGCAATTGGTAAAGATAGGCTACACGTTTTGTCAAGCAGAGCTCAAGGCAAAGGAGTAACAATTTAAAATAATTACCAAGGTGTGGTATATCACAGAGGAGTCCTTACATGTTCTGTTGTCTACAGCCAGGGACAGAAATGACTCGAACTCTGCTACATAACATTGACATAAACATGTTATGGCAGATGTCATATGTTGACATAAGTAGTCCTGACAGATCACATTACCATTACTAGTAATTGTCGTGACAGATGTCATAAGGTTTAATGTAATGCCAGCTTATGGCACATGCAGAGGTGGGTAGTAACTAGTTACATTTACATTCAAGTGCTTGTAAGTATAATATTGATGGATTTTCACTCTCCTGAGTATTTTTGAGTCGTAATACTTTTACATCTACTCAAGAATGTTAAGAAGTAAATTAATCTGCTTTTTACTCAGTTACATTTTTGCCATTCATATTTATTCACTATGTCTTGGGATGTTTTGTTGGTGACAACATCTGTGCAGCGTTGTTATTGATCACACCTCTGACTTTAGAGCTTTAGCATTTTGTTTTGGACCAAAAGAAGCCCAAAAAGAGAAGAATGCAACCTAAAAATCTTTAGTTTTCATGCTGATAGTTGCTGGATTTACAAACATGTTTCATGCCAGTTCTATAAGTACCTCAGTACCTAAGTCATTTTTTGGACCTGATACTTTTGCACTTGTACTCAAGATGACTTTTCGGGAAGGTACTTTTACTTGAGTCATTTAGGCTACTCTACCCACCTTTGGTCACATGCTGATTTTTAGGAGTACTCCAGTTAGCCTTCATGACCTTATGACCGTCATGACAATTACCAGTAATAGTAACATGACACTGTCTTTATTATGTCCCTTCTGACAACTCATGACAGCATATGACATCTTCTATGACACATTTATGGCATGGTTGTGTCAATGTTGTGTCGCAAGGTCTAAGTAAAGTGTTACCCAAAAAGGTTTGGAGCGGTGTAACAATACTGCTTAAGTTTCAAAATGTATCATTCAGTCTCCAGGCTATGTATGGAAACTAAACTTTAAAATCAACCTGTTTTGTGATGTCACAAAAACCAACACTTCTACGTATATCCCACTATTCAACCTACAGCTGTTTATGCACACCCACTCACACTGAAGTAAGCTGGAGAGTTTCATCCCAGCCTGCTTTTTGATTTACAGCCAATCAGAACAGAATCAGTCTTAAAGACACAGTAACGAAAAAACAGCCTGTTCAATTCTAAGGGATAAAAATGTCAGAAGTGATCTGTGGAAGGAAAAAACAATAAAAATGTAGGATATGGGACATGTAAAAGGAAATCAGTACTATTATAAATAAATGCTAATAGTAGTTCACTAGCATGGGCTAATCTGCATAATGCAAATTTGCCCCCTGCTGACTTTCATTCATTACTGTTAGCATATTTGAGTGCAGTATTTCTTTAAGCATGCTGGGGGGATACAGACACTGACACAAGTAGAGAGCACTTCAACACCTGCACGACCGTCAAACACAATCCACATGCTGGTAGCAGTCAGGAAGACCTCGAGGAGAGATTGTAAGCTGAGGCATACAGAGAATAAAAAATGATAAAAGGCTGTATTCACACTCCAGGGACAGCATATTTCTCTTCTTCATTTTCTCACCTTTTCTCTCTCGTCTGTATCTCTGTAGAGATAAATGGAGAGTGTCAATTCATTCATTACTGTCTATTTATAGACCCCTCCATTGCTAACACTCTGTTCAAAGGCGAGGCTTCATCACTGCTTATGAATCTGTGTCATTCATAACCATCCAGTCTTCCCATTAAAATACACAGTGCATATATTAGCATAGCATGTTTGGCTAACGGGTGAAGATCACAGGATTAGACAGTCTTTTGCAGTGTGTTGGGGGTTGCTTGCATGCACTTGTGAGTTCAAATGATTAAAAAAAAGATGTGATAGACTTAAGATGCTACTGACAATTAGCAAAAGCGAATCATGGGGTGTGGAGCATTGAAAGGTTGAGCTTAGTGAGTAGAGCGCCGACAGTTCAGGAGTGCCATCTAGTGGTGTGACTGTCACAAGTGGTGAATGGAATTCATTAACAACTGTGCTTTTATTCAGAGTACATGATGTGTGTAATTACAGTCTCCCCTTTTTCAAGGATTATTTGTATTATTTCTTTATTTATTTAGTTTTTCATTTGAGCGCAGACCAGTTGAAATGTTCCAAAATCACTTGGAATAAAAACCTTTTACATTGACTTACACAAAGAACATCTTTGCCTCTTCCTGTAAAGTTTCTCAGTGACCGTGTGATATTTTATCATGACAACAGAGTATTAGATTTATAACACAGCATTATACCAATACACACCCATGTTCGTTTATTCATTAAATGAAAAAAGCCTTAAAAGTGACTAATTTAGTCCATACATTGAGCTACACAGGCTATGTGAGTAACTGTTAGATAGACTTGAATTGGATATCATAACACATTTTCCTTCCATACTGTGATGTATTTTTCAGTGATATGCTATCAGGGAGGGTCTCTGAGCTCCACGATAGGTGGGGATCGTAGGAGAAGGAGGTGAAACATAATACTGGTTACCCTTAATTTACCTGCTAGTGCATGGTGACGTATTCAAAGCTCAGGTGTTTTCATAAGTCAATAGGTTTTGATCAAAGACTACAGGAAAACAAGATAATAATCTTAAGATAATAAATGATGAATAATGCTTAATATGGCCAAGGGCATTAACAAACAAGGGTAAAAAAGAGGCCAATTTTGATTTTAGGTTGGCCTAAATGGTTTCCAGAGCCCTCTGCTGGACAGTAGTTAAAGGTGTAGCTGCACTGAGGTTTTGCTGCAGTGCTAATCAAGTCAAGTAAACTGATATTATATAGAACATTTATAGACAACTGGTGTTGGCCAGGAACTGAGCTAAGGTTAGCTGGATATGTACTGAGCTAAGTTCTTAATATAATTTAATGAATTAGTAAATTTATTATCGTAAATTCTCTCCCTTAGTAAAATTAGAGCAGAGATTAAAAGGCAAATAAACGTAATAAACAAATGTATCTTCAATCTCTTTCTCTCTCCAGCTGCGACGAGTACGTTACTCAGCTGGATGAGATGCAGAGGCAGCTGGCGGCGGCCGAGGATGAGAAGAAGACGCTGAACTCTCTTCTCCGCATGGCCATCCAGCAGAAGCTGGCCCTCACGCAGCGCCTGGAGGACCTCGAGTTCGACCACGAGCAGTCCCGCCGCGGTGGAGCCGGCCGCACCAAGTCGTCCCGGGCCAGGTCTGCCCAGAACGCCGCCCAGCAGTCCCATGTAAGTCCGACCCTCACGGCCACCTGCGGGGGTCGCGGTGAGCCCAACAGCCTTCTGGGAACGCCCGTGGTGTTCTGCAGCGAGAAGTACAAGATCTACTGCGACTAAAAGCTTCTGCTGTTCGTGTGCGCGTGTCTAAAACGGCACTAAGTCAGTGTACAAAGCCCCACTCACATGCGCTCTCTCGCTCGCTCTTTTGCTGACCTGTATGGTGTGTGTGTGTGTGTGTCCTTTAGGGCTGTGTGTGGTTATGCCTACCATTGTACTAGTAGCTATGCGAATGAAGATGGCTAATATGGTAGCGCTGGCGTAAAGCTGCCAAAACCCTGTTTTTTGTTGTCCCACACAGAGGGCAGTTTGTTTCCTTCTGTACTCATGGTGCTGTATCTAAAGTGGCAGCTTCGTATCCGAATGTGTGCGCGTTTCCTGACCCGACCGCTAGTCATGCTAGTCGGAGCTAGCCACGAGGGCGTCGTGTTGTGGTTGTACCGTAAACCTAGCTGCCCTCCGCAACTCAGTAGACTTCCTTCTCCTTTTTTCTCTCTCTTTCTAGCTAATCCGTCCCTTCTGCCCTCTTTGTCCTTCCCTCTCTCTCCTGCCTCGGAGAACCTGAACCCGGCAACCCATTGTCCAATCAGGTGGCTAATGTTTACATTGTAAAATAAACTCATGAATATGCAAATTCCCCCTTCTCTTCTTACAGTAGGGGGGAAACCACAAGTATTTTTGATACGAATCAAAACGATACAAAAGTTAAAAAAAAGACGGGTTCGCCAACAAATTTAGGACGATTTCAGTCCTGTCTCGCTCGAGTAGAGGTGGGCGGGAGGGGGTGTTTTGTTTTTTTTATTTCATTTGTTCTTTCTCGCAGATTGGCAAGCTCTTTGCCAAGATTCCGATCGTATTTCTTGGCTCTTGCATGCAATTGCTAGCGGATTCTAGGCTGCGAAGAAACACATCTCCCGTCTTTCTTAAACGTTCCAGCATCTCTAGTTCCGTCCCCATATCGAGCACATCTGAAACAGGGCTCTACATGCTAAAAAAGAGGAACGTTTCTCTCCACTGATCTGTACCCCCAAACATGGAGAAGGTCCTTTATAGCCATAACACTGGAAAATAAAGAAGGAAAAGGGAAGACAAATCAACCCTTTCCCCTCAAATTCAAGTGCACTTCTAGGTAGGGGCCTCAGGTTCCACACTTTGCCGCACAAAAAGGCAGATTAAAAGAAAAAAAAAAGGACGAAAAGTTTTGATTGGTGGTGGTCCAACTAATCCAAAAAAGAGCACAACATACAAAGCGAAATGAAAACGAGTAAAATAACAAGACATCACCATAGAAAAGTGCCTGTCTCTTGATATCTATCAGCAACTGTTCATTTTCTCAGTGTAAAGCCCTGTCCTTTGTGTCTGAAAGCTAGCGCTTTCCCTTTTCCCCCTCCCGACTCCATTTGCTACTAAAAGTGAGCCGTAAGGTTTATTATATGTGTGCGTCATTGACTCCAGTCATGTCTAACGTCTTTCTCTTCTCCTTGCTTCTCCTGCCACCTTTCTCCTTGTAGATTGTCAGCAGCTTGCTCCCCATGCCTCATCACTCTCCCTTTAAATAACGACAGGTAACGTTCCCACAGCGTTGTCGTATACCTCCTCTCGAGTAACGTACTGAGGAAACGGAGAGCGGCGTTTATCATTCTTATTCACGATAAACATGCCAGACGTCTCGTTTCCAAGACGTCCCTCGGAATCCGTGGAAGGAGAACCCGGCTCATTTTGTCAAACGAAAAAAGCTTTAACGTTGCAAGCTAATGCTAGGCTAGATTAAAAGTAAACACAGAGGGTGGGGCTTGTAGTAAACTAATAATCTTGTGGATGATGATGACGATGATAAATGCTGGTGATGAAACTGACTTAGCTTTATTACATTAAAAGCAGGGTTGAGGACGGATGAGGAAATCAGTTTTTTTTGTTTTTGTTTTTTTTTTAATTGTCAAATTTATAAAACGTATATTCTTAACAAGATCCTATTCAGGTGAAACCCGAGCTTCCTCCTAGCCAGAGGAAGAGCAAACCTCAGTCCTCAACTCTGCTTCTTTGCCTGTGCTGCATATAAGCCCTTGTTAGGCCTTTAGATAACGTACTGTATTAAACAGACACAAAGCTATCGCTCTCATCTTTCTCTCACACACACACAGACGCACATGCACACCTTCACTCACATGAACACACACACAGCTTGGATCTGACCACTCTATTTCTGTTCCTTCATTCGTCCTGTTAGCCACAGAAGGCTTAAGAAGAAGTGTTAGATCTTTCAAAAGGTTGTCAGACGAGGAGAGATGAGGGGGGGAAAGGCTCCCCAGGTTCTTGTGAACGGGCTGAAATTGTGAATTGCGTTTAGGAAATAAGCTTTGTACATTTTGTCTGTTTGTTTTTTTTTTTGTCTCTCATGGACTCAGAGGACATTGATTCAATGAACTTTCTCCTTTTTTGTCATAGATAACTGATTAATGTCATGTTTATTTTTATAGTATTCTAAATTAACAATGATGTTTCATTGTGTGAAGTCAATGTCCACACTTCTGAGTCCACTCTGCTTTCTCATTGGTTGGCACCACACAAGATGCATGCAATAATTGGTTATTACACATAACTGGTGCCCGGTTATTATTAATTTGCATGGCACTTGAGGTTCCACTTGCTGTACTTCTGCTTCCGAGAGGGTGGAGCTATAACAAGAAACGGGCGGGGTTTTGATACTTGTGAGCCAGCGGCTTTCTGCGCTTACTGTTCCTGATTTCTCGAGTTCTGCTTACACAAAAGCAACTACTTTCGGCTTCTGGTGACTAACCTGCTCTCAAACTAATACCTGCATTCCAGTTTTTGTTTGGTTTCTGTACCGTTCGATTAACATGCTGCCAGCATGCCTCTGATTTACACGTTTTAAAGTTGGCTAAATTTAACAGCAACCCTAATTTCTATTATTTCTTTGTTTTTTCCATTTTGCAGTAATGTTCAGCCCGCCCCTAATTGAGCTGGGAAGTCGACATTCCATCACTGCCGACAAATTCAGTCTGCCATAAAGTTTTAGCCCAATGGAAGCCACTGGAAGACTAAAAAATAGTTGAAAATGATTTCTGGATAGATTTACCCTCATTAAGTAGTAAACAACAAGTCATGTTTTATCACTTTCTTTTTTAGTTGGAAGCCTGTGCTCACATAGTATGAAAACTCCGCCCATAAGAATCATGATTGGCTGTCCTAAATTAGAAAAAAGGAGTTTAATAGACACTACTAACAGGCAGTTGTCCTGTTCTTTTTTATTTTATTTTATTTAACCTGTGCACTTTTAATATAGGAGTATAATGCTTTATTATTAATCTAGGGAAGGTTTGTAGTGCTTTGGTTTGTGAGTCAGTTCAAGTATATACTATATACTACACATATATACTGATAGTAATAGATTTTTCCATATATGTGCTCTGTGTACAAAGAACAGAGATCAAACTCACTCACTTATCCAAATCTACTCACATTGCAAACCAGTCCTGTTGTATTCTGTGAAATGAACCCACAAGCATTTGTCATTTATATTTCATTTATACTGATCATTTAATGTTTTTATTGTATTTTGTCACATTTGTTCTACTGCCATATTCTGAAACAAAATCCCGGGTGGTCAGATGCTGGGCTTTTTTTGTCTATTTATTATTCTTAGGAATAGTTCAAAGTGAACGTGGAGAAACTTGACGACGTTCTGGCTTATCACGGTAAAGTGGGCTTCGGGAAAAGCAAAACGAGCGACAACAAAACTGCGTGGGTTTTGTTTTTCTTCCTGCCCTCCTTTACTCAAGCTTTCAAGGGATCGCTGACTTCACGAATTCTCCGCAAGTGTAATCGAATCAATTCCAAATTGGAATGGTCTCATTCTCTCTTTGTTTATCGTGCCAAGTCTCGGTACACCGTTTTTACGTTTGATACGAAAAGGAAAAAAAAGGACCGACATCGGAAAGAAGGCAAAAGGAGTCGTTGCGGTGGGTGCGGTCCCCACTTTCACACCCTCCGTTTGATTTTTGTTTCTTCTTGTTTTTTTGTTTTTTTCGTTCTGACCAGTAGTGCCTTTCATTATTTCAAGAGAGAATTCTAGTCTAGCTTTTAGTTTTTGTGGTTTTCTGTTGCCCTCTCCTGAAGGTAAGGCGATTGACCAAGCATTTCTTACTTCAGAGGACGCTTAGAAGCAGCAATAAGTGCAAAAAAACACGCCATCTGTTTTTGCGAGAGTGCGTTTTGTTAGTCTAAGACATTAGGTGAATAAAATTGAAGTTGCGGCGAATTCTTGAGATCAGCGATCCCATTAGCAAATTCAGGGGTTTTAGCAAAAGGTCTTTTTTTAATCAAGTGGTGGGAATCAGAATCTTTTTGCCTCATAATGAACAAAAAAAAAAAAAGAGAGAGAGAGAGATACCACACATCCGTGTGGCGTTTTTCGCGGATGGAGACTGGTGTATCTATAGCTTTTGTTTGGTGAAGGTAACGTGGTATCGATAGTATTGTTGACAAAAATGTGTGAACGCGAGTCCTCATTTTGTCCATTTTGAGTCTCACTTTTTGTTTGCTGTTTTTGTTTTTTTAATACTTTTTTTTACATAATCTTTATATGCATTGTGATTTCAGGAAACAGAAAACATTTTGCATCAACAAGCTTCAAAAGTGCCATGAAAGTCACAACTGGTTTGTTGAGGCATAAACGCAATTAGCACATTTGGGATGCTAGCAAAAAAAAAAAAAGAAAGAAATTGAATCAAGTGCAATTCAGAATGCTGATTTACATGGAGAATGAGGTTTTCTGTTTGCTGGAAGCGATAGCGTTGTGATATTCAACTAGCTGTGCGAAATTGACATGGTCATATTGTGTTCCAGTATTGATCCGCGAGGAGAGTTTGATACCTTTATATTGAAATAATGACTTCATCCATATGTTGGTATTTATTTGAAATGTCTTGCAGTACTGTACTCTTTATCAATAACGTGCATTATGATTAGTGGCAAAGGAAAAAAAACAAAAAAAAGAACTCAAATTCAATGTCATATGCATGTTTTTCTTCAGTCATGGAAACTTTTACACAGAACTGAAAACAAACGTAGAACTTTAAAGAGGTTAGGAAAGAAAAAAGGAAAAAAAAAAACTAAATGGAAAAAAAGAAATGTGTTTAGCTATTAAGTGATGTATTACTGCTGAACTAACCCAGAAAAAGTGTTGTTTTGTTTTCTGTAGAGGGTGACCCGGTCTGTGTAAAGGTAGTCATGCTGGTTAAAATCAATAAATGGGACTAAAACGTCAGTCTGTGCCCTGTTTTATTGGTTTGTTTGTTTGCAGTTTTCAGTGTACTGATATGATTGGTGGATGTCGGTGTCAGTTAGCAAAGTCATCCGTAATTTCTGCTTTGTGACAGGCAGGAAATCAGAATTTTCCAAGTTGGAATCTGAAAACAACTTCAGATGTTTGAGGTTTGGGAAAAAAAAAGGATGCTCATGGTAAGCTAACGCTTCTTTGGGTGCATGTAAAATGCTCTTAAAAGTGTTTACAGCTTATTTAAAGAACTGTTTGCTTAGTGCTTCATTTAATTTGAAATGTGTGTATGGATCATTTTATTAAAACAAATGATTGAACATTTCATGTTGTTACTAAGAAAATAACCATAACACTACCAAAATTTTACCAAATGTTCTTGTCCTGACTGTTTCGGTAGGTCATTTTGAGCAGAACGCTACGCAGTACATGACTAGCAAACGCAGCTTTGAACAGTTGTGCACACAACATCATATTTTTCATTGAAACACAAAAAGTTGACTTTTGCAGAAAATTTGTGTTTCAGTCGTGACAGTTCTTAGTGTTACACACTGATTTTCAGACTTTGAGACACATTTACTTTAAAACAATGGAATCAAACTGCTCACCATGTGGCCATGAGGGACAGGGATGCAGCCTCACTTCCTGCTCTAAAATTTAGGGGTGTGGCTAAAATTAGACTCCGTCCATGGACTAAACCTGTGTTTTGATAGTGACGAGCATTTTTGGAATAATTTTTTCATTTAAAAGTTAAACTCATGATGAATCTACATTTTTCAACTTCATTTTACAAGATTTTTTTTTTTAAATGAATAAATTTTAAGTATAAGTACAGTTAAAATATTGAGGTTAGGGTTTGGGACAGACACCTCCCAATATATATTTAGCTTATTATTTTCTCAATTAATGCCTTGGGTTTAAATAGAGAAAATAAAAGTTTGAATGCTGATTTTTTTATTTATTTATTTTGTTTTTCCACCATGGGACTGTAGTTTGAACTAATTTGGCAGAATGGTCCATAAAGCTGGTGGCAATTCACCTTTACTATAGTGCCTAAAAATCACACTAAAGTGTGACGTTTGGTCAAAAATCTTGTACAGAAGGTCTCAACCTTAGAATTATGCCCTTGTGTTCAACATCATGTTCCAGTAGCAGATCATGCACAAACAAACTCAAAAGTCTGTTTAAAACTCTTAAAATAGATTGTTACGGTGACATGATGGATTAACAACTCTGAGAAGTCGGAGCTCTCGAGGAACTCTGACTTTCCAAGTGGGAATTACGAGTTCAAGGGATGTTCAAATAGATTTCTCCTTCTTGGAAATCAGAAACTTCCCAGGTCCCACTTGGTCATGAAGGCAGCATTCGTTTCCAAGCCAGACAGAAGGGGGTTTCCCAGCTGTGGATGGTAAGCTCATCATTTCAAACGTGCAGATACACCACATAATATAACACTAAGACCTGAAAAATGGCATATTTGAAGAAATCAAACGTTTCAGAATTCCTCGGGGTGGAGATTTTTGAGCAATTTCATGCTCACTCTGCAAATTAGGGTTTGAATGTTTATTAATATCAGCAAGAACCAGTATTTTTAAGTTGAGTATTACAGCAGTTCACAAGACCAGCGTCACCAGTTACTCGCCTCTATTAGAGCTGTACAGGCTGAACAGAAAACATCATACCATACAATACACAATGGCAAAAACATACAAAATGCTTCCAAACATTTAGCATTGGGATAACATGCAATACAAAAAACTTGATGTGAAGAGATTAAGACTGCAATGTGTGTTTTGATTTTTTTAATAGAAATGGACTTAAAATGGAAAACTAAACAATAACAAACTATGCAGAGCCTTTATGAAAAGGTTCCAAAATACTTTACAAATATCAGAAAGTATCAGTTTAATGTTTTTTACTGTTACTTTCAGAAATTTTAAGGAAGCATTATTGCTGAGACAGTCTTAACTTGCTGTACTGAACACATCATTATAGATCATTATTCTATGCAGAAATCTTCACTTTATAAGTAATCTTTGTTAATTCTAATTAAACATTTAAACAAAACTGTTTACTTCATGTACACGATATATGACTGAGACATTTGGGGGGGGGACTAATTGCGACTTTTTCTGACCAATATTGCGACTGCAATTAAAATTCTTTCTATAAATTATTTTCTCTCAGGAAGTCCAGTACATCCATTTTTTCAGACTTGATGTTCAAATGCTGAATGTAGCCTGCCAGAATGCCAGTTCATGGGCTCTGTGTAAGATTAAGATTTATCCACTTTAAACTAAGACAACATTGAATTATGTGGCTATAATTCAAATTGCAGCTCTGACAATTAAACAATTGCACTCTTTTAAATAGCAATTTGGATTAAAAAGAATGAATAACCATTCAGCCCTAATGCAATATGTAATTACACATATTAACTTTTCTTCATGTACACTGAATGTGTGATGGAAAAAACGTGCATTCATGAGATCCTGCTGGTGTGGGTTTCCTCTTTTCATGTATGCACACTAAACAACTTGAATTCTAATCGTTCCCCCTTGTAGAAAATCTTCAGCCTGCTAAACACAGCTTTATAATAATCTGCAGATAGCCTGTTTATTATTCAAATTGCAAAGTAATTATCACCAATTCATACAATTTCCGAAAAAAGGTACTGAGCAGGTACAATTTTCATGGTACACTGTAAATGTACCCTCAAAGGTACAACAGTGTTTTTTAGACCTAATTGTGTACCTAAATAAGCCTTTTCTTGTGGGAAAGGTACATATTTGTACCTTTTCATAAACTAATATTTTAAAACAGAGCATTAAATAAAAGCCTGGAGGCGAGACGGTGTGTGGAGCCAATACAACTTTAAGATATATAATTGCCGTATTTTTAATAATTGGCTAAGAGAGATGCCACCTTCTGTTACTCAGCAGTATAAGGAAATATTTAGAATATGTCCTCATGAATGATTAGCTGCAGTACTCAGGGGCAATGACCTGTTATTTATGAAAATCTGGAGACCATTCATAGAGCATCTGCCTCCTGAACTCATAGATGCTGTCTTAAAAGGCCGGTACCTTCTCTAAGACCAGATTGTAGGTAGTGTACATGGGAACCTAGTGAAGTGCAACGAATGGGATCAGCAAAGCCCTGTTTTAGTTAATTGGGAAGAACGTGGGATTTTGTTTTTCTGTATCTTTTCATTTTGAAGTGTTCCTTTTTTTGTGAGGATAGAGATACTCACTGCACATGAATACATTTTGTAATTGTTAAAAATAAATAAAAATGTATTAAAAAAAATATATATAATTGCAATAAAATATGGTACAATTATGTTCCCTGACTAACGGTTACTGAAGACGTACCCCTGAGGGTGCCGACCCAGAGACAGTTTGGTGCCTTTTTTCTGAGAGTGCAGAAAGTGTCATCATCATCATCGTTAACCGCTTAGTCCAGATAGGGTCGCGGTAGCAGTTGGGAGAGCAGAGAATCCCAGATGACCCTGTCCCCCGCAACTTCCTCCAGCTCATTCCCGGGGACCCCAAGCCGCTCCCAGGCCAGCTTGGAGATATAATCCCTCCAGCGGGTCCTAGGACGACCCCGGGGTCTTATTCCGGTAGGCCGTGCCTGGTACACCCCCACCGGGAGGCATCCAGGGGGCATCCGGATCAGATGCCCGAACCACCTCAGCTGGCTCCTCTCAGTGCAGAAAATGTAAATTTTGTAATTGAATAATCAATTTTAATCAAGTAATTGTAACTGTCCTCAAACAGAACAGCAAAATAACTGTTTAACAGAAACCAAAGGAATGCCATTTAGCTCTGCCCCCACCACTGCAACGTGTGTGAGGAGTTTCTGATGCTTATTTAGCTTTAAGACGTGTGACAGCTGACAACTGATAATGCTGATTAACAATTTACAGTTCACAGCTGACAGAGAGCCAGTAAAGCAATGTTCAACCACAGCTGAAGAGTTTCATTCCAAAACACTCTTTATTCGTTTGTGGCAATTTTGAATATAATGAATTTTTGAAAAGGTGATATTAATCATAATATAGCACTGATATTTTCTGAAGCCCACTTCCAACAATATACAACATACAGACAAAAAGTAGGGACACCTGCACATTATACCTACAGGAGTGTTTATGAATCCCATTCTAAATCCATAAGCATTAATATGGAGTTGGTCCCCCTTTGCAGCTGTAACAGCTTCCACTCTTCTGTGAAGACTTTCTACGAGATTTTGGAGTGTGCCTGTGGGAATTTCTGCCCATTCATCTAGAAGAGCATTTGTGAGGTCAGACACTGATGTTGGATAAGAGGGTCTGGCTCACACTCTTCATTCTAGTTCATCCTAAAGGTGTTCGATGTGGTTGAGGTCAGGGCTCTGTGTGGGCCAGTCAAGTTCTTCCACACTAAACTCACCCAGACAGGCCTTTAGGGACCTTGCTTTGTGCACTGGGGCTCAGTCATGATGGAACAGAAAAGGTTCTTCCCCAAACTGTTCCCACAAAGTTGGAAGCATACACTACCAAAATGCCTTTTTATGCTGAAGCATTAAGATTTCTCTTCACTGAAACTAAGGGCTCTAGGCCAACCCCTGAAAAACAACTCCATAGCATTATCCCTCGTCTACCAAACTTTACAGCTGGCACAGTGCAGTCAGGCAGGTAATGTTCTCCTGGCATTCACCAAGCCCAGACTCGTCCATCAGACTTCCAGATAGAGAAGTGTGATTCACTCCACAGAATACGTTTCCACTGCTCAAGAGTCCAGTGGCAGTGTGCTTTACACCACTCCCCCACCGACATGTGGCATTGTGCATTTGTGAAGGTTTTAATGCGCAGTTCTTTTGCTGATGTTGCTCTCAGAGGCAGTTTGGAACTCTTTAGTGAGTGATTCAACAGGGAATACGCACTGTGTGCTTCAGCACTCACCGGCCCCATTCTGTGAGTTTACATTTATCTACTACTTTGTGGC